GGTAACAACCATATTTGATGGTACCCACTCCTTAAATCTAATTTGGAAAACACAGTAGCCCCCTTCAATTCATCAAGGACATCGTCAATAGTGGGAATCAGAAAACGATCATTTATTGTTATTCTATTTAAGGCCCAGTAGTCAATGCACATCCTCCAAGAGTGATCTTGCTTCTTAACAAGCAGTACCGGTGAGGAAAAAAGACTTCTACTGACCTTAATGAAACCGAATGCAAGCAAATCTGCCACTTGCTTCTCAATTTCAGACTTTTGGTGATGAGCATATCTATAGGGTTTCACACTCACTGGTTCTGCCCCTGTTGCTAGATGGATAGCATGATCATATTCCCTAGAAGGAGGTAGGCCCTGAGGTATCTGAAAAACATCTTGGTAATATAACAGAATTTCCCACACAACTGAGGGAATTTTCTCTCTAATTGCTAGCAATTCTGATTTACTGGTCTCTGTACTGGCTTCGGTATCACTAGTAGATAAGGACAAACATTCAGCAGCCAGTCCTTGCTTTATGCCACCATCCCCTTTTAATAATACCCTCTGATGATTCCAATTAAACTCCATAGACAAATCTCCATAATCATGGATAACCCGTCCTAAAGAGTTCAACCACATAATGCCCAAAATAATTCCCAAATCGGTTAGATCAACTACCCATAAATCCACAATAAACTCATGGCCTTGAATATTTAACACAACAGCTGGACATTTCCTCTCACAAGTTAAAAATTCCTCATTTCCCAAAAATATCCGCATTCTAGGAATTCTTATCATAGGCAGTCCCAAACTAGCAGCTAACTCCTTCTAAACAAAGTTATGTGAGCTTCCAGAGTCTATGAGAATAGGAACTAACCTGCCACTCAATCGAATTTGAAAACGCAACGCTCTTGGATTCTGCTCACTTTCCAAAGAATGGAGTGCTGCATCCATGGGATCCTGGTGATGTTGCTCAGGTTGCCAAACTATCTGTTCTTCCCCTTCCACCTTCCTCTTCGGAATCTCCAAACATCAGCAACATTCTTCCTTTACATACATGCTTGGAATTCCATTTTTCATCACAAGTGTAGCACAATCCCAAATCTCTTCTTTTTTGCAAGTAATCATGAGTCACCTTCTTGCTGGTTACATTAGACGGCAAGGCAGGAAAACTTGATTTGGTGTTTGGCACGAAGTTATTTACTGGGTTTGATGGTTCTACAATGTTCAGTGGCTTGGAAAAAATTTTCCTGTTAGCAGAAGACAAGGACACACGTAATTCAGTGTAATGAGCCTCATATGTCAAAGCCAACTGCATTGCTTGGTGCAAAGAAGTTGGTGTATGCAATTGGATTGCTCTCCTCAAATCTGGTTGCAACCCCGAAACAAAAAAAACTCATCAAGACTTCATCTGAAAATTCAGTCACCTGATTAATCAATGCCTCAAAGCTTCGAATATATTCAGTAATAGCACCCTCTTGGGTTAATTTGGATAAAACCCCTCGAAGATCAGTGTATGTTGTGCCACCAAATCGTTGCTTCACGGCATGCTTTAGATCCTCCCAAGACTGGATCGTTCCTCCACTATACAACCATTGAAACCATGGCCCAGCCATTCCCTCCATCTTCATGCCCGCCAAACGCACCTTGAGAACATCGGGTATCTGCTGCAGCCCAAAGTAAAGCTCCGTTCGAAAAATCCAATTGATTGGATCTTTTCCATCAAAAGAGGGCAATTCCGTTTTAACCGATTTCATCACATTGCGTGAATCATTAGGGTCAAACCTGAATTGATGATGCCCTGACGATTCAGAATTGACAGCAGTGGGATTATTTCGCGGTGGAGCATTATCACCCATTCGATTCTCCACACCCACAATCGCCGCGTGGATTTGTTGAAGCTGGTTGGTGATATTCACAAACTGTGATTGATGGTCCACGAAACGCTGCTGCATCTCATCCAAGCTACGATCCACACGAGCTTGAAAAGAACCCAAATCCTCGGCTAGATCTTGGAGTCTCATCTTCGACGACACGAGTCCAAAAGAGTGAAAGCACCAATGTTAAGGGTTGAGAACCCTAACAGAGAACAGAGACACAAGGAACATAATTTAAGAAATTCACAAGCACTTTATTTATCTTAATATCAATCTTCGATTACAGATGTCTGTTTTATAGGATGGCACCTCAACTAACAGCATGCACATTCCTAACCAATCAGCACATGGAAAGCTAACTAACTGCCACCTCCTATTACAATATCTCAGCTATTACTAAAATGCCCTTACAACTCACAGCTATTGATACACACAATTGCACATTTATACATTCACCACATAATCCCTAGCCCACGCTGGAGCTCCCCTCTTTCTCTTGCTCGTAACACTCTGATCTCCATCTCTCAACGTGGGCATCGATCAAGTAATGCTATCTAAAATATCTTAAAAAAATAATATTATAATTTTGCATTCATCAATCACTATAGAATAACTAAATAAAATTCATTGAATCACTAGAGCAGACTGTAATATTGCACATGCGAGCCACATGAATAAATCTTGCCTGAGTCAAGTAACCAGCTATCACGTGACCTACGACAGATGCTTCCTCTGCATGTGTCGCCTCAATACTTTGTACTCCTTTGGACCAAGATGAATCCAATCTCGAGGGGAACCAGTGTTAGATGAGTAATCGGATGAATGATCCAATAATGATGAAGATGAAAAAGCCATATCCTAAATTTATCATTAGTATTCCATTCAAAATAATATGAAGAATTTAGCATATTAATTTTAATGAAAAATAATTAATTTCAGCACACCAAATTTTTATTGCTTATATAATTAGTACAATGCAATACAATAAATGTATATTATTCTAACGAACAATATTTACTTAACTAAATCTCAAATGAATAATATAATTATTAACTAATTATTTTTCAGTATGCACTAATTACTAAATATTATTCATTATTAATACAGACCCAACTTATAATTAACATTATTCTACCTAAATCAGCAACTTATTTTTATTTTTATTTTTGAAAATATTCCAATCGGTTCATTGCTTCGCAACTAATTCGATTCGGAGCGGGTCCAAGATTAATGTTTTAAACCCCTCCCAAAGATGGTACTGGAAAAATTCGAACACATGCTCTCACCCCACCTGCTTAGCTCCCGTGCGTCAACTGAGCTACCACCATTTGGTTATCGACAACTTATCTAGACATAGTTAATAGTAATATACATCAACATAATTATCACTATTATATCCTAAGTCACTAATACCTACTACTATAATTTAAAAATTTAAAAAGAGGGTTATAAGACTTACTTGGGTGAGAGAGCTCCAAGACAAAAGGTGAAGAAAGATGACGAAAATGATGGAATGAGGTTGTGAGGTGTGTGTTGGGGGAAATATCTATGGTACTATTGCTGTACCATTCACTCAGTACATCTATTTAATAAAAAATGAGGAATGATGGTCATCTTGTATGGAAAGAAAAGAAAAATATTTTTTTATCCAATTGTCATTTGTTGGATGACAGATGTACCTACTACAGATGTACAGAAGATGATCTCTGTGTTAGGGGGCAACTAGCTGCATTAGTTTCATAATTAGTTTGGAAATAGCATTAATGTTATAATTAATTATTTGAATTATAATATTAAGATTCATTTTGTCATATATATATATATATATATATATATATATATAAATTAAAATGGTTATATTTTTCTGCAACAACAAGAAAGATTTTTTCTCCCATCAGAGACACAGAAATATTGTAGATCCCACTGCATAGAGAAAGAGAAAAAAAATTTAAAGTTGGATCCACACCTTTTTGAGTAAGTAAGAAAAACTAATTGTCTCTTGTAGCATGAGATTATTATTTCCCATATTAAAAAGTAGGAAAAATATTTTCTCATATTGTAGGATAATTATTTTCTTCTACAAGTGACTCTTCGATTTTTGTACAATATTTTCTTTTGTCTTTTATTTTTTTAATAAATATGGATACCACACAAAATGTGTCTATAGCACGAAAAAATTAAAATTCTAAAAAGTATTTGTTAGAATGATGTTTTGTATGGATATCACAGTCATATGTAACACAGAAAGTATTAGCTTTGTTTTTATATATTTATGATTGTTAAGAACCTTGAGGTCACCACCCCAAAAGCTAGCTCAAAGGGTGGGAGAGCCCAAGGCCTTATAAAGGCCACATTAGTTGCACATACAACTAATATGGGACTATATATCTCAACACGCCCCCTCACACGAGAGCCCATTGGGCTTGAAGCGTGGACAATACAACAGGCCCAGCCTACCTGTGCTAAAAAACTCCACAAGAGAAAGCAGGGGACGACAAGGCTCTGATATCCACACAAAATGTGTCTATAGCACGAAAAAATTAAAATTCTAAAAAGTATTTGTTAGAATGATGTTTTGTATGGATATCACAGTCATATGTAACACAGAAAGTATTAGCTTTGTTTTTATATATTTATGATTGTTAAGAACCTTGAGGTCACCACCCCAAAAGCTAGCTCAAAGGGTGGGAGAGCCCAAGGCCTTATAAAGGCCACATTAGTTGCACATACAATTAATGTGGGACTATATATCTCAACACGCCCCCTCACACGAGAGCCCATTGGGCTTGAAGCGTGGACAATACAACAGACCCAACCTACCTGTGCTAAGAAACTCCACAAGAGAAAGCGGGGGACGACAAGGCTCTGATACCATGTTAAGAACCTTCAGGTCACCACCCCAAAAGCTAGCTCAAATAGTGGGAGAGTCCAAGACCTTATAAACTCCACATTAGTTGCACATACAACCAATGTGGGACTATATATCATGATAATTGACAACCAGACCCACGTGGTTAAGGATTACGACCAATCACTTTAAAAAGGATCTGCAAAGACAACAGTCAGAAAAATAAATTGCTTTCACATCTATAAATATAGTGTGTTACGGGCTTTGATTAAACGGGGGAAAGCACCAAAGCGTAAGACTGAGAAAGAGTGAAACAAAGGCTAAAGAAACAAGAATGAAAGTAGCACAGGTACTGCACATGAATGGAGGGGTTGGAGAAGCAAGCTATGCAAACAACTCCTTAGTTCAGGTATAATTACATATACCATCATGGTTTTGTGTCTTCATATTATCACCCAATTCTATGATACTAACAAAGGTCATCTAACTGAACTGAGAGAGTAATGCAAAGCAAAAATAATGCAAAATAAATGAATACTAACTCTGACATTGGTTATATAGCGAAAGGTGATTTCGTTGACAAAGCCGTTAATAGAAGAAGCCATAACTACCCTCTATAGCAGCACACTCCCGAGAAGCCTGGCAATTGCAGACTTGGGTTGCTCTTCTGGACCAAACACTTTGCTTGTGATTTCAGACATTATCAAGGCTGTGGAGAATCTTTGCCGACGGCTGAAACATAAATCTCCTGAATACAAGGTCTTTATGAACGATCTCCCCGGGAATGACTTCAACAACATTTTTAAGTCCCTTGACAGCTTCAAAGAGAAACTACGTGATGAAATCGAAACTGGGATTGGTCCATGCTACTTCTATGGGGTTCCTGGTTCTTTCTATGGCAGAGTTTTCCCTAATCGAAGTTTGCATTTTGTCCATTCCTCTTACAGCCTTCAATGGCTATCTAAGGTATATATATTTGCTAACTCATTTTCTTATTCTGAGAATCTTATTGGGATTTACATGTGCGGTTGATTAATTTTCTACTGCAGAACAGACCTTTCCTCTTTAACTAATCTGCAACGATAGATTAGTGGAATATAAATAGCGTTCATTTTTGTTCGTGCTGTTTGAAAAAAATTATCTCATGTAAAAAAAATAAAAAAATTATAACTAAAATGATAAAAAATAAATTTCTCTCCATTAGTCAACTGACAATATTCGAGGAGAGAGAAAAACAAAGTAACTTTAATATTATAACTATAAACTATTAGTAATATATAATTTTTTTTTACATGAGATAGTTTTTTTCTAGCAACATAACATAATGATTTCCAATATAAATAAAGGAAAAAGTTGAAAAATACCATTATTGTTTTACTTTGAATAATTTTATTCTTTTTTTTAATCATTTATCTCCTATCATTTTTTCCATCCAACTTTATTCTTAACACTGCTATAAACTTAATTAATCTACCTATTTTATCTTTTTTAGAAGGAAAAAAAAAAACTAATGAAAAAAGAGAAAAAATAAGATTAAATATGTTGGAAAGTCACAACACTTGCATAAAAGATTAAAGCTAAAAAAAAAAAAAAAAAAAATTTGAGGACAAAAAAAAAGACTAGGATGTTGAAAACTTACAATGGAGATGAAAAAGACTAAAATAAAAAATAATAATTTTTATAAAAAAAAATAGACCGAAGACAAAAAAGAAATATAAGAAAAATAAATAAGTATTATAAGTTTCTACCATATTTGATTTGATTTTATTTTTATTTTTTTCTCAACCCATTTTCTTCTTTTTGATTTAGATATACGTGTTTTTTTTTTCTCAACTCATTTTCTATCTTAATAAGTTTCTAACATATTTATTCTTATTTTTTCTTCTATTTTTTTTTTTGTTCTCAATTTATTTTCTTATTTTTAATTTAAAAATATTTGGTATTATTTTCTTTTTTTACTTTTAATCTTTTATGTAAGTGTTGTGAGTTTCTAACATATTTGGTCTTATTTTTTATTTTATTTTTTTATGCTATTAGTTTACTTTTAAAATAGATAGATTACTTAATGATGAGATTGGATGGAAAAAATAATAAGAGTAAATGAGTAAAAAAAAAAGCATAAGCATGCAATTGATTGAAAGCAAATTTTTCCCTATTGGCAATTAATTAGGTTCCCGAGGGTGTAGAAAACAATGAGGGAAACATTTACATGGCCAGCACAAGCCCCCTAAACGTCTTCAAGGCTTACTACGAGCAATTTCAAAGAGATTTCTCTCTTTTTCTAAAGTGTCGAGCAGAGGAACTAGTTGAAGGGGGTCGCATGGTTCTAACATTTTTGGGAAGAAGAAGCGATGATCCATCAAGCAAGGAATGTTGCTACATTTGGGAGCTTATGGCTATGGCTCTTAATGATATGGTCTTGCAGGTACACATTCTAAATAGTTTGTCTTACTGTTATTTTCATTTTCAGGAGCTGACAAAAAAATAAAATAAAAAAAACAACAACTGGTGCAGGGAATCATAAAGAAAGAGCAAGTGGATACCTTCAATATCCCTCAATATACTCCATCTCCATCTGAAGTGAAATTAGAAGTTCTCAATGAAGGATCGTTCACTATCAACCGACTGGATGTGTCTGAAGTGAATTGGAACCCTGTTGATAACTGGAATGCTTTTGACTTTGAATCTGAAATGTCGGAATCACTCAGTGATGGTGACTTTGGATCTGAAATATCAGAATCATTCAGCGATGGTGCATACAATGTCGCACAGTGCATGAGGGCTGTGGCTGAACCTATGCTGGTTAGTCACTTTGGTGAAGCTATCATTGATCAAGTTTTTAGTCGCTACCAAGAAATCTTGGCTGACCGTATGTCCAAGGAGAAAACTGAGTTCATCAATGTTGCCATATTATTGACTAGAGAAGTATAAGCAAGAAGCTTGCATCTACGATATATATATATATATATATATATATATATATATATATATATATATATGGGTTTTGTAAGAGTTATGTTGTAGGAAAAGTGATTGTGTTATGTTATAGAGATTCGTTTTGCATGCCGAAGTTTTTTTTGATGCGGGCTCCACAAAATGTTGTGTGTGTAGAAAAATTTTTGTGGTCATGTTAAATGATAGATGATAAACCCTATATATATATATATATAAGTTTAATGTTTTCGCTTTTATTATAAGTAAAAAATTTCTGTCACATTTACATAAAAGTGAGTGGATCTTATAAATTTCTGTCACATTTTCGCTTTTATGTAGATGTGACAGAAATTTTTTTCTTATAATAAAAGCTAAAACATTAAACTTTTATATATATATATATATATGAGGAAGATTATATTTACAAATTTTTTTATTTACAAACTCTTACGAACTACACTATATTTTTTGGGGAGAACACTAAGTTACACTATGTTCTCCCGGGAGAATATAGTGTATTTGAAAAAAAAATTGTAAACGGATCCTTCCCCTATATATATATATATATGTGTGTGTCTTTTGCTTTATTTCTCTTGTAAAAGGTTATGCTGCAGAAAATTAAAAATTAGGAGTATTATGGTGTACATTTGGTAACTATTTTGTAATATGGGTTCAATAGCAGATTCTCGTAAAAATGTGTTTGTGGTGGAAAAAGTTTTTCGACCATAAAGGCAGAAATACTTATGCCTTGTAATATTAATATATGCTCTCAAATTTGTATTAAAATTATTTACGTGGGGATTATGATTTATGATAATTGGTTTATTATATTTAATATTTAGTCATTCACCTTGCCAAACATTAATTTTACAAAATTTTGTGTGGTCTTGAATTTGCTGTAATCTGTATAATTGGGCAATGAATCAAATCAAATTTTAGAAAACACTATCATCAGGTCCCTCGCACAAATTGTCTTTATCTTTACCATATTGCTGAGAGCTCCCTATTACCACGTGCAATGTGACCCTGCGTGGGATAACATATCATTTTCGCTTGAAACTACGGTTAATGCCACGTAGCAAGGTTAATGACGTTCTCTATCATTTTCCCTTGAAAACTACGGTTAATGCCACGTGGCAAGGTTAATGATGTTCTGTCCCACGCTACAAGAGAGTGAGGTAAAGGTTCGGTCCCTCACTCCGTTCCCTTTGACCATGGCACACAACAACAACTACCACCACCACCAGACCACAACTCTTCAAGTTTTCTGCGTTGGAACCCTCGATACCAAGCTTGACGAGCTCCGATTCCTCTCCGATTCAGTTCGTTCCAATATTCACCGCTTCTCCAATCACCCCTCCTCCAAGGTACTCACTCACTCTCACACAACACCCATGTTATGTTATGATTCCATTACTGTTCTATAAAAATATATAATCAGTATTTAACTGTGTTTCATTGATTGGAACGAGTGACAGGTAGAGGTTGTGGTGGTTGATGTTTCTGCTGGTTCAAATGAGCCAGAGAGTTTACAAGATTTCACATTTGTTTCCAGGAATGATGTCATCTCTTGCTATGACAGTGGATCAAATGAGGCCTTGGTTCTTCCAGAGGATAGAGGTAGAGCTGTTGCTGTAATGAGCCAAGCACTTGAAAATTTCTTGAAGAAGAAATCTCATGAGGATCAGTGTATTGCTGGTGTTATTGGTGTTGGGGGCAGTGGAGGGACATCCCTATTATCATCTCCCTTCAGGTCTCTCCCTGTTGGGATCCCAAAGGTCATTGTGTCAACTGTGGCCAGTGGTCAAACTGAGCCTTATGTTGGAACATCTGATCTGGTGTTGTTCCCATCCATTGTGGATATTGCTGGAATCAACAGTGTTAGTAGGGTAGTTTTGTCCAATGCTGCAGCTTCTTTTGCTGGGATGGTTGTTGGAAGGGTTCTGAGCTTAAAAGATTCTTCTTGCTTTGAAGATAAGCCTACCGTTGGTATCACTATGTTTGGGGTTACTACTCCTTGTGTTAATGCTGTCAAAGATAGATTGCATGAAGAAGGTTATGAGACCCTTGTTTTCCATGCGACTGGGGTTGGTGGCAGGGCTATGGAGAATTTGGTTAGAGAGGGATTTATACAGGTATTTGAGACAGCAGTCTATATGCATTCAAGAATGCTAATTTTAGCTGATGTAGTTTTTTTTAAAGCATTGGAGCTTCACTTCTTTGGAAGCATAGCATAAGAAATTTTGTTATCTGGACAATTTTATTTTGATCTTCTCTGAATTTAGAATCTCATATCTTAGTACTACCATATTTTCTGTTGACGCTTATCTCAATTCTGTGAGTAGCATGGTCAAGCTCAACCTTTTCAACAAGTATGGATATTCTTTTTTGAATTACAGTCTCCCTTTCATTGGTATCAGTGCACCTTATGGATGTGAGGTTTTGGTTAAGTTCTGGTCATTGTGTAATTGCAGCTTTCAATGGATCGGGCTTATGTTGCATACATCATGAGGATAGGTCTTTGCGCTAACTGTATAACTGTCAAAGCTAAACCACTGAGCTGACTCTTTTGTTGAGAATATTAGATGTTCAGGGAGACAAATTTCATTTTTACCTGCATGCTTGCCAACCCTATCCAAAGACCTTCATTGATTGTTTATTTAGCTCTGTACCATATTCGATTTATTTTAGATATGTCTATGCATATTCAGTTTTGGGAAGAAAAAAAATACTTTACTTTTTTTCACATAATTGTATAATCCATCAGATGAATTGGGATAAGCATTTTGAAGTCCCTTGTAGTCTGTTTGTTTCGATTCAGATTCTTCTTTATGTATTCCTGCCTCTATTTGTGATTTTCTCACATATTCTTTTCTTTTAATTTTGATTAGGGTGTCTTTGACATAACAACAACAGAGGTAGCGGACTACATAGTTGGAGGTGTAATGGCTTGTGACAGTTCTCGCTTCGATGCCATCATAGAGAAGAAAGTGCCCCTAGTCCTGAGTGTGGGGGCATTAGACATGGTGAACTTTGGAGCAAAAGATACCATACCACAGAAGTTTCAGCAGAGAAATATATATGAACATAATAAGCAGGTGATACTCTATATAACTCAGGTGGCTTGTTGATCTTTGCTTGGAATCTAGCCATATTTGCAATGATTACTATTTTGCTTTGATTTAAGGTCCGACCAAAGGTTTGGCCAGTCATTTTATGCATATGGGAAATCCGCCATATATTTCCTGCTATCATGTAATTTCTACCAAAGCAATGTAATTTTATCAGTGATCTTATGCTAGACTATTTAAAATGCTTTATATCATTCACTGGAATTAAAGATGTTTGACATTAGTGTTTATGCTAATATAATAAATCAATTATTTCTCTCTCCAGGTTTCGCTCATGCGAACAACAGTAGATGAGAACAGAAAATTTGCTGATTTCATAGCAAATAAACTGAAAAATTCATCATCTAAGATTTGTGTTTGCCTTCCAGAAAAGGGTGTATCTGCTTTAGATGCACCAGGGAAGCCTTTTTATGATCCAGAGGCAACGGGTGCTCTTCTTCATGAATTACAAAGCCTTATTCAGACTAATGATGATCGACAGGTTCTATAGTTGGTCAATAGTGTTATTTACCATAATCGTAAGCTTCAATTTTGCTTGGATATTGTTTTATTTATTGCTATGGGGATTTTCTAAAGTTAAAAGTTGTGTATTTTGCAGGTAAAGGTGTATCCTCATCATATTAATGACCTTCAATTTGCTAATGCATTGGTTGATGCATTTTTAGAGATTAATGAGAAAACTAGTAAAGATTCTACTCATGAACGAGTTGCCAGTCTTGAACCCGTTGAACACATTCATGAGGGTTATATTTCAGGTGCATCAAGCTTTGGGACCATTGTCTATGCACCTAGTGAATTCCCAGATGCAAGACCAGGTTCTCATTTCATTTGAATTTGCATTATGTTTTTCTTCTTCACAAGTATTTTGTTAATGACAGTTCTAGATGTGCATAAATATTTTCTAGTGGTTTGGCCTTGCAAACAATATGTATATTCCTTTGCTAGGTTGCCAGTTATGTCTACCATACCATTTTTGCAATGAAGAATTTAATATTATAATTTTTCCACATAATTTGTGTTTTCTTTATCCGGTCAAACTTAATTTGTGTTGTTGGCCTGAAAAGTATTTATTCAATACTGATAGCTTTTTTTTTCCTGTTAAACTTGTGTCTCAAGAATTACTTTTTTGTTTTGGTAGAAAATCTTTTGTTTATGTCTGACTGTGCAAGTGCTGTTTTCATTTCTGCTGGCAGAAACTTTGGAGAAAACACAGCTAATATTGCAGCAATTGAAACATCAAATAGATAAAGGAATTCCTATAATAGGAGCTGGAGCTGGGACAGGTATATCTGCCAAGTTTGAAGAAGCTGGAGGGGTTGATCTAATAGTACTGTACAACTCTGGCCGCTTCCGAATGGCTGGGAGAGGTTCATTAGCAGGGTTATTGCCTTTTGCTGATGCTAATGCTGTTGTGCTCGACATGGCCAATGAAGTTTTGCCAGTACGCCTTCATTTGTTTACTTGTTCTAAGATAGTTTTAAAATATTGTCCAACTGCTAACTTCTTTTCCTCAATTTCAAGATTCTTGTTAAATATAGGTGAAAAGTGGATAACTAAACAATAAAATGTCACGAAATTTGATAGGCATTGTCTTTAGTGTGGAAAACAATTTTTTTAAATTACTTACATCGCTGGGAGAGAGGGTGTTGAAGAAGGAGGAGGTGAGGAGGAGAGTGGGCTGTTGGGGGTAAAAGTCCAATGGCTAAAGCAGAATGCAATTTGTGTCTGTCTAGGTCATAACAACATACTGGTATCTTGATACTGAAAGTTTAATGATCCTTTTAGGCGATAATAAATTCTTATATTTTGTTGTTTGACTTCTCTGGTTCTCATATAAACTTAGAAGATTATCAATATTAAAATTGTCATTAATTAACCTGAAAGTTAAGAAAGTGGTAAATAATAATTCTTCAAGGTCAGGTACAGCTAGCTATAAAGTATTGACCTTCAAATGATAACTCATGGGTTATAAATTGGTTATTCTTTGTGATAATAAGTCCCCTTGCCAAGGTAGCACTGAATCTCTGTCTCCCTTGTTCTAACATACTGATATTTTGTTTTTCAGGTGGTAAAGAAGGTACCAGTTCTTGCGGGTGTATGTGGAACTGATCCTTTTCGCCGAATGGATTACTTCCTTAAACAGGTGGAATCTACGGGATTCTCTGGGGTGCAAAATTTTCCAACTGTTGGGTTATTTGATGGTAATTTTAGACAAAATCTTGAAGAAACAGGAATGGGATATAGGTAGGTGCTTGGAAAAAAAATTCTCAATATATCAAAGTAGTTGGACTATTACACCTCTTACAACTTTGTTTCATTTTCCCATAAAATGATCAGCTTGGAAGTTGAGATGATCCAAAAAGCCCATAAAATGGGCTTCTTGACAACCCCATATGCATTCAATCAACATGAAGCTATTGAAATGGCTAAAGTTGGTGCTGATATTATAGTGGCCCATATGGGTCTAACTACAACCGGCTCCATAGGTGCAAAAACAGCTGTTTCACTGGAGGAAAGTGTGGTTCGTGTACAAGCTATTGCAGATGCAGCACATAAGATCAATCCCAGGGTCATTGTGTTGTGCCATGGAGGTATGCACATCACCTGGAAGCCTTTTTGTTTGTGTTTTGATAGATAGATTAAATAGTAAATTTAGTGTTAACTAGTCAATTGTTATTATTTGCGTCTAGTGACAAAGTGAATAATGTTTTTCTATAGATAACTGAAAGAAAGCATCTTCCTATATCTGAAGCTAGAGCCTTGTACTGTTTCATCCTTTGTGTGCTTAAATTCTAGTTTGTGGGGAAATCTTTCCCAGTAACTTTTGGCAGCTAGAAAAGGCCGAGTATTGATATAGTTGTTGAACCTCACTGCTCATTGTTCTTAATGTTCAAAAAGAGCAGTTTGTGTTTGTCATCTTTTAGTCCCTGTTCACAACAATGTACTGGAATATGCAGGTCCCATATCTGGTCCAAAAGAGGCAGAATTTATATTGAAGAGGACTAAGGGAGTTCATGGATTTTATGGGGCTTCAAGTATGGAAAGACTACCTGTAGAACAGGCTATCACAAGTACAGTCAAACAGTACAAGTCAATTTCTATTAATTGAGGTTTAACTTGTCCGTACTTTGTAACCATGCCAGTGTTCTGTTCGCTACATTGCTAATAATGGCTAATGTTTTGTCATTGCTAAGTACCTACCAAATTTGTGAAGAATCTAGGATTTGCTGATATAAATATTGGATTTAATGAAGCAAAACCAATGGACAATACATATATTTTGATCCTTTAAAATGAGAAGGGTGCAGTTTAAAGGATAAATGCAAGCGATAACCATTGATGAGAAAATCAAGAACGGGTTATAACAAATCCATATTCTGTTACTGCTTTTTACTTTTCTAATATATATCTTTCCCTTTAAAGGATCTTGATCCATAATACATATATATCCAAGAGTGAATGTGGTATCCATCATGGATTTGGCAGTGACTTGGCCATGAATCGTTCTTGTGAATAGAAACACAAAACACACTAGTGCAGACTGATAGATCATAATAATTTGTGGACTAGAGTAATAAGTATTTTTTTTTTGTATGTGTAAAACTCATTGGTCAGATGTCAAATATTTGGATAAAGATATTTTCTTTTTATTTTCCCTTTTCTTTCTCACAAAAGGATAAAGCAAATCATCAACTACGAAGATTTCGCAATAAATGTGGAATATAGTTACCATACGACCTCCGAGAAAAATAATTAAAAATAAATAAAATTTTATCATACTTAGTGACTACCAAGAACGAGGTGGAAAAAGTGACGACAGTATTTCCAGTTGACTGGGCCTGGCCCAATAAAAACAAACGACAGCCCGTGTTAGGCATTATTTACTTTCCGAGTTGCATTTGCAGATCCGTACTGCACTTGTGATCAATTCTAATAGATTGAAGCGAAAATTTCAGTTTTATCCATTTTAGGTTACAACAATTGATTTCAAATTTATCACTCAGATCCATCGTGGTTATAGAATTATTTAGCCTCCCAAATGTCTAAAATATCCTTATTATATAAAATATCAATAATACCCGTAATAAATAAAATTCTAAATTATATTTAAAATGTGAAAAATATCCCTAATTAAAAAAGAAATTCTGATTAAAAATATCTAATTTTTCTACACTTAACTTTTAATCCTTATCATTTCACTTAATTTGAAATGATAGTTGTGAATAAACACACTAAATAATAAATCATTGAAAAAGAATTACCTCCTAGATGGACCAATAGTAAAATAATTTCACACATTAACCTTCAATATTTTTTGAATAAGGAACAACCCTTCTTTTACAATGCTCAGAAAAGTTTAGTAACTACTAAAAGCTAATCAAATATAGACTATTTATGTCACATTAATGGTTAATTATCATTCCAACACTTTTTGAATAAGGAACAACTATTCTTTTAAAGAATAGGTTATTCTGCCTAATCTTATTTTACCTACTTTTTTCTACCTCTCTTAACATCGTTAGATTACAATCTCATCTAATAGTGGAGATTTGTGAAATAAAATAAACTTTCTTCCCCTTTCTTTCTCTATACTACCTCCCACACTCTTTCTCTCTCCTCTCCTTTCTATCTCTAATGGCGCTTCAGCATCAAAAAAAGGTACAAGCTTTTTTTCTCAATTCATCCAACCCAGCCATTGTTATGAGTATTTATATAAAAAATTGAAAGAGGTGTCAAGAAGAAACAAACCCAGATGCCCTATGTTATGGGATCAGGTATGCATGTTGTTGAGCGTAATATAGAGAGAACATAAATCTTTTCTCCACTTCAAGGTGAAAAACAAGATAAGAAAAAGAAAGAGATAAGTTGATTCGATTTCAAATTTCAATAGTAAAATAGAAATTTTATGGTAATTGTGGATTAATTCAAAGGAAGAGATTCTTCGTGGTTTTTATTTTTTTGTATTTTGTGGTTTCTGTCGTGTTCAATTATATCAGATTCAAGGAATTTAAAAATTATATTCATCCAGGAGAATTATCATGCCATTAATCATTGATTGAATTTAGATTCAAATATGAATTCAGATTGTAAATTACGCAAATCGATAGAAAGAAAGAGGAGGAGAGAGAAAGAGTGTGGGAGGTAGTAAAGAGAAAGAAAGGGGAAAAGAGTTTATTTTATTTCGCAAATCTCCACCATTAGATGAGATAGTAATCTAATGGTGTTAAGAGAGGTAGGCAAAGGTAGACAAAATAAGAGTAGGCAGAATAACATATCCCTTCTTTTAAAATGTCTCTTGACTTTGGACATTATATGTTACTGTCATTTGTGCATTCTCTAAACTTTGTTCTTCTCACAGAATTTTATCTTGATACTACTTCTATTTACTGTAGAGTTGTTTGTTCTATCTCCCAATTTTTCAATATATCATGGGCTTTGGCTTTACCCATGTTGAAAGATGTGTCTTAGCTCTATTATAGAACTACCATGCCCCCAACCTCATTTAGTGCACAGTTATCCATCACTTTTAGCATTAGACTTAATAGTAACTTAATATGACTAACTGAAGTCTCTAAATCACAGACTCCTGGTTGAGTGTCATCACTATGCATATAATCTTACCACTATTCACATATTGAAATGCTTATTTCTCGGCAATAGTTAAGGCATAGCTCATGATTGTAATTTGTAATGATTCTATTTCTTATTTCTTGGCAATAATTAAGGCAAAGTTCATAGAAGTAATGCTTCCCTTGCTTATTTCTGCAACAATTACAGCAAAAATGGAAGAAGTATGTTGATAATATATTTTAGATAATGAGCTTTTTCGTGAGCCTAGTCGTCCATGTCAATTGCCTAGAAGTAGATATAAAAAATTTGAACAAGAGTTAAAATATATAATTATAAAATTTGGACACTACTTATTCTCTCACAAACTAGATTACCATTTTTCTTGCAAGTTGGGGTTTATGGAGAGTATTTTTTTTAATTCCTCTTCAATCCAAGAAAACATTGCACAACAACAAGGGTAATTTATTCTTTCAACATATTAGTGTATCAAAATTTGAAACAATTCTATTTTGTAGATTGTTGAAAATATAGATTAAAAGGATGGATGTGGTACCTGAATGTAGTTTCCATCCCAATCATGGCCAATGAGGACAACTTTTTCTTTAGAGAGAATAGCCTAATCCACTTGGTAGAAAGGACAATATATATCTTCTTTGGTACCTATGTTTTTTATTCAAATAATATTTTTAATTTTTTTTTTTAATTTCAGTTATTTTTTATAATTCATATATAATATGTTATTTTTTGAGTAAGGGCATTATTGATATTTTATATAATAAGAACATTTTATGTATTTGAGGGGCTAAATGATACATTCTATAACCACAGTAGATCTGAGTGATAAGTTTAAAATCATGAGGGCTATATGATAATTGTTATAACTACAATGGTTAAAACTGAAATTTTCCCTAAATTGAATTCATTCGCAATTGGTGACCATACACAGATATATTACGAAATAAATTTTAATAATCAATCACAAATAATGTAATTATTTTTAATAAAGAAGACATCAAAATTTGGATATACAAAATGAAAATTACCTGAATCTTTAGTAAATAAATTGGCTCATAATGCAGGATACCAAAGTCAATGTTTGGCATTGGTTGGATAAAAATTAAGAAAATGCGACCTAGGTTGGTGTTTTGACGCAAAATAATAGGGAAGTGAACTAAAGAATATTTTAAGAAACCTTACTTCTCATCTTAATCCTTGATTTCGTCTATCTAACGGTTATAATTTATTGAATTATATAAATTAAGTAATTATTGAGTCAAAATAAATTACGATCATTAACTGGACTTAAATCAACGATTGAGATAGAAAGTAAGATTTTATAATCTTATACCGGAGTTAAAAGATCCCTCCATATATAAGGGTAGATTATTCTTATACTGGTGTAAAAATAACAACTCTTACATCAAATCTTAATCGTTGATTTTCATGCATCTAAAGTTTATATATATATAGGGGCATGATATTCTTACACCAGTGTAAGAGTTAGAAGTCTTACACTCAATCTTGACCATTGATCCACTTGTATCCAATGGCTCACATTACTAAAAAATTTGAACCGTTAGATATAAATGAAATCAACGGACAAGATTGAGAGTGTAACTTACACTGGTGTAAAATGATCCTGACTCATATATATATATAGGATCATCTTACACCGGTGTAAGAATAATAAGTCTTACACCAAATCGTAACCGTTAAGTTTTGTGCATCTAACAGTTAAGATTTATTGGGTCTCACTCATTAATTAATTATTAATTTCTAATAAATCTTAGTCGTTAGATGCACGGAAATCAACGATTAAGATATGGTGTAAGATTTGTCATTCTTGCACCGGTGTAAGTTGATCTTATCCCATATATATATATGGGATAAGTTCAATTTACACCGGTGTAAGAATAATAATTTTTACACCAAATCTTAACCATTGATTTCCATGCATCTGATGATTAAAATTTAATGGGAATTAATGATTGATTAATTAACGAGACATAATATATCTTAACAGTTAGATGCACGTAAATCAACGATTAAGATCTGGTGTAAGACTTATTATTCTTACACCGGTGTAAGATGATCCTGCCCATATATATATATATATATATATATATATATATATATATATATATATATATGAGGGAAGGATCCGTTTACAATTTTTTTTTACAAATTTTTGCAAATTACACTATGTACTCCCGGGAGAACATAATGTAACCTAGTGTTCTTTCAAGAGTACATAGTATAATTTGTAAACAAAAAATTTGTAAATATAACCCTCCCTATATATATATATAGGGAAAAAAAATTCAGTGACTGGATCGTCCAATGCACTAAGTTCTCCCGGGAGAACATAGTACACCAAATATTATAATGGTGTTCTCTCGAGAGAACATAGTTATAATATTTACTATAACTGTGTTCTCCCGGGAAAACATAGTGTACTGGACCAAATTTTATATCAGGTCACTGTACACTCACTAAACCCATATATATATATATATATAGATACCAGTGGGTTCCGAAAGTTTGAGGAAGGAAATGAAGTAAACTAGAGCAGAAATGGAAAGCAGGAAAGTTGACGGACTACTACATGATTATTAACAGTCAATTAAATGCAGAATTTAAAGGCATAAATAAATTTAAGGTGAGAACCCAAGCTGTATACGGTAGGCCGAAGTCGAACTTGGGTGGAAGGATTGAGAATAGAAGAGTT